CCTTGTTATCCAGTAGTTTCCACCTTGTTATCCAGTAGTTTCAACCTTCATATTCAGTAGTTTCCACCTTGTTATTTAGTAGTTTCCACCTTGTTATCCAGTAGTTTCCACCTTGTTATCAAACCTATCAAATCTCTCCTTGTTTGATGATAATTTTTTCTCTGTCTCCCGATTGGTTAAGAAGTAAGGAACCTTCACTTCTAGGTTTTAGGATATCCCCCCCCCTTCATCTCCTTCAACCAACCAATCTGTATTGTATAGTTTCAATGATTATACCAATATATTCCTGTATGCCTAGTTAGGAGAAGGGAGTCTGTATAAATTTTTACAAATATTTTTTAGATATTTATCTGAACATATTGTCTACTGAAAATACTACACAATTTAAAGTATTTTATTTGGGGGTTTTATTCTTGATATTTTTTCTCTCTTCTCCCCTTTAGATAATGAAAAAATGACCTGAGTAAACCGTAGCAAGTATTTGAAGAAAAATGATACAATTTAGTGAGGAATTTCAGGACCCTGCTTCTCCGGGCTATATACAGAATACACCATCCAGACCTTTATATATCTTAAACATTAACCCAAACACAACAAATCTATTTATAATTCATATTCAGAATATATAATCTTCTTTCTAACCATTGATAGATTGATGATCTATATCCAGGATAGATCTAGCTCTAACCAGGGATAGATTGATGATCTATATCAAGGATATATCTAGTTCTAACCAGGGATAGATGGATAATCGATATCTAGGATAGATATAGTTCTAACCAGGGATAGATGGATAATCTATATCCAGGATATATCTAGTTCTAACCAGGGATAGATTGATGATCTATATCCAAGATAGATCTAGTTCTAAACAGGGATAGATGGATAATCTATATCCAGGATAGATCTAGTTCTAACCAGGGATAGATGGATATTCTATATCCAGGATAGATCTAGTTCTAAACAGGGATAGATGGACAATCTATATCCAGGATATATCTAGTTCTAACCAGGGATAGATGGATAATTTATATCTAGGATAGATAAAGGGACACATAAAGGGTCACATGAAGGGTCACATAAAGGGTCATATAAAGGGATATATCAGTTGCAAATTATAAAATCCTGGGCAATGCTTCTTGGGTAAAAGGAACAGTAAAGACGAGATTCATTCCACAGTTGTTCTGGCTCTCACTGCAAACAGAAAAAAGCTTCCTGTCCAATCTGTTCCTGTTTTCTCAATATTGATTCTACCGTAAACTTGTGAAGCAAATAAATATTTAAAATTTTTCTATTTACAGAATGTGAAGGTAAACCTGTCTGAAGTTTGAATATTGGTTTGAGTAGCGTGAAAACTTGAAACTAAGATTATCCTGAGAATAAACATTTTTAAACCTTACAATGGGATCTTGAGTCCTGTATAGAATATAAATATAAACATGAATAGAAGCAACAAAAATACACAAACAGGGATAAATATGCAAATATACCTTTAGCTCAGGGAGGAGCTGAACCATTCTTGATATTCCCGTTGGAGACTGGATCCTCTTCTTTAGTTTTTACTTTTCCAGAGGGGCTGAGCCTCCGTAGCCCTCCTTCTGTACAGTGTACACACCCCAGATACTTTTTGGTTTTAAATTTTTTATATCTAATACCCAACTATGAAACATCTACTTATGGTATAGCCGTTTATGAAACATCCGATACTGGTATATACATCTATGAAATATCCACAAATGGTATATCCAGTAATGAAATATCAACTAATGGTATATCCATCTATGAAATATCCAACAATAGAATGTCCATCTATGAGATATACTTCCATGAAACATCCATCAATGAAATATCCATCAATGAAATATCCTTCAATAAAACATCCATCTATGAAATATCCATCAATGAGATATCCTTCAATGAAACATCGATCAATGAAATATCCATCTATGAAATATCCATCTATGAGATATCCATCTATGAAATATCCATCTATGAAATATCCATTTATGAGATATCCATCTATGAAATATCCATCTATGAGATATCCATCTTTGAAATATCCATCTATGAAATATCCATCAATAAAATATCCATCTATGAAATTTCTGTCTATAAAATATCAACCTATGAAATATCCATCAATGAAATATCCATCTATGAAATATCCATCTATGAGATATCAATCTATGAAATATCCATCTATGAAATATCCATCTATGAAATATCTATGAATGAAATATCCATCTATGAAATATCCATCAATGAAATATTCATCAATGAAATACCCATCTATGAAATATCCATCAATGAAATATCCATCAATGAAATATCCTTCTATGATACATCCATCTTTGAAATATCCAACAATGGAATGTCCATCTATGAGATATCATTCTATGAAACATCCATCAATGAAATATCCATCAATGAAATATCCTTCAATGAAACATCCATCTATGAAATATCCATCAATGAGATATCCATCTATGAAATTTCTGTCTATAAAATATCAACCTATGAAATATCCATCAATGAAATATCCATCTATGAAATATCCATCTATGAGATATCAATCTATGAAATATCCATCTATTAAATATCTCATCAATGAAATATCCATCAATGAAATATCCTTCTATGATACATCCATCTATGAAATATCCAACAATGGAATGTCCATCAATGAGATATCCTTCAATGAAACATCGATCAATGAAATATCCATCTATGAAATATCCATGTATGAGATATCCATCTATGAAATATCCATTTATGAAATATACATTTATGAGATATCCATCTATGAAATATCAATGAATGAAATATCCATCTAAGAAATATCTATGAATGAAACATCCATCTATGGAATATCCACCTATGAAATATCCATCTATGAAATATCCATCTATGAGATATCCATCTATGAAATATCCATCTATGAAATATCCATCTATGAAATATTTATGAATTAAATATTCATCTATGAAATATTCATCAATGAAATACCCATCTATGAAATATCCATCAATGAAATATCCATCAATGAAATATCCTTCTATGATATATCCATCTAATGAGATATCCTTCAATGAAACATCCTCAATGAAATATCCATCTATGAAATATCCATCTATGAAATATCCATCTATGAAATATCCATCTATGAAATATCCATCTATGAAATATCCATCTATGAAATATCTATGAATGAAATATCCATCTATGAAGTACCCATCAATGAAATATCCATCTATGAAATATCCATCATTGAAATATCCATCTATGAAATATCCATCAATAAAATATCCATCTATGAAATTTCTGTCTAAAAAATATCAATCTATGAAATATCCATCAATGAAATATCCATCTATGAAATATCCATCTATGAAATATCCATCTATGAAATATCCATCTATGAAATATCCATCATCTATGAAATATTTATGAATTAAATATTCATCTATGAAATATTCATCAATGAAATATCCATCTATGAAATATCCATCATTGAAATATCCATCTATGAAATATCCATCAATAAAATATCCATCTATGAAATTTCTGTCTAAAAAATATCAATCTATGAAATATCCATCAATGAAATATCCATCTATGAAATATCCATCTATGAGATATCAATCTATGAAATATCCATCTATTAAATATCTATGAATGAAATATCCATATATGAAATATCTATGAATGAAATATCCATCTAAGAAATATCTATGAATGAAACATCCATCTATGGAATATCCATCTATGAAATATCCATCTATGAGATATCCATCTATGAAATATCCATCTATTAAATATCCATCTATGAAATATCTGTCTATTAAATATCAATCTATGAAATATCCATCAATGGAATATTCATCAATGAAATATCCATCTATGAAATATTCATCAATGAAATACCCATCTATTAAATATCCATCTATGAAATATCTGTCTATTAAATATCAATCTATGAAATATCCATCAATGGAATATTCATCAATGAAATATCCATCTATGAAATATAGATCAATCAAATATCCGTCTTTGTGACAGAAACAATCTCAAGAACTGACGAGGGTCAACCCAGACCGAAATATATTTTCAATAAATGTAGAACTAACATCTACTTTTTTTACTCTACAGAGGTTTGGTCCATCACCATCACCGAAATTCAAATATCTGTCTTTGAAAAATCCATCTATAAAATATCAAACTATGAAATATTCATCAATGAAATATCCATCTATGAAATATTCATGAAATATCGATCTATGAAATATCCATCAATCAAACATCCTTCTTTGAGATATCCATCTATAAAATATCAAATTATCAAATATTCATCTATTAATTGTCTTTATTATAAACATTTAATGAAAATGCATTTCAGCTGATTGTTTTTGATAATCCGATGTTTTTTGTTTTGCATAACAAAGTGATCGGAATAGGAATGAAATTCATTTTTTCTTCATAGTCATAGGGCCTGCAGGAGTAATATTTGAAAAACAGAAGAGGGGGGGGGGGGTGTAGAGAGCTTTTAGCTATTCATTTTTAAAAAACTTTGATATAAATATTTAAATTAATTAGCATACTTTTTATATATTTATCCCTGAAACTGCCTAACTGAGCTCCCCCCCTCCAATGGTTTAGTTACGCTCTAAATGACAAGAGTTTTGATTGTGAATCAATCCAGGGTGCCGGAGTAATCAGAACTTACATAATCAACCCTTATCCTGCCTTCAACCTACTACTCAGGGGTTGCCACATTTTAAACAACGAACATAACATTTATCTAGGAAACAATCAGAAATGAAATATATATCAAATAAATGTCTATATATATTATATATTAACTATTTGTCTGCAGACTGCGTATGAAATGTTTAAACATGAAATATCCATCAATGAAATGTTCATATATGACTAAGAACTGTTATTTATTAATGAAATGTCCACTTCCGAAGTATTCGTTTGATATAAACTTGAACACACACCTGGATATAATCATGAACGGAAACATGAACACACACCTGGACATAATCATGAACAGAAACATGAACATAAACCTCGACATAATAATGCACTGAAACATGAACAAACATAGATATAGTCATAAACTGAAACATGAACAGAAACCTGGACATAATAATGGACAAAAACATGAACATAAACCTAGACATGATCAATAACCATGAACTGAAACATGAACATAAATCCTAATATGAGCTGATAAGTCTGAAGACTGGTGGGTTATTATCTGAACCAATCATCAGTAATAACACAGGAAAATATTAACTACAATTTCTTGAACTGCTGCAATTTAAGTTTAGATTGATATAGTTAAATATTATATATAATCATCACAATTCTACTCCGGATTGGTTGAAGTCCAGGTCCAGGGGCAGGCTGAGCAATATTTAACTTCTCCAGGTACACTTCTAAATCACGGAGACTGGGACTTGGATTTAATGAAGTTGAACTAGATCTGATACGGTTCAACCACGTATCTTAAATCGGTCATTCCGGACTTGCCCATGTCCTAATAGGTGTAACTCCATGGCAGTTGGTAGTCAAGTGACCTGGCTCAAATTCATTCAATTCGGTCCCTTGTCTTTTTTATAATATGTCTTTTTTTGCAGCAAAATGGCGTCATTTTTAGGAGATCCGATATAAGGATTTAATAAACAACACATTAGGCAATTAAACCTATTAAACTATTAAAAGTAACTGTTAAAACGTTTAAACTATTATTGAAACCAACTTGACACGCATCATTTAAAAACTTGAATTAAATTATTGACTCCCTGGGAAATTTAAAGGTCGTTTTTGATTTGAATAAAATATTTTGATATTCTTTAATTATTTTGTTTGAGTCTATATTTGACCGGATATATGCTCTGTGTACTGAGTAAACCTTATTAGTTTAGCTGAACCCGGAGTAAACATGATCAGCTCTGCACTAAACCTAAACAATTATTAAACTATTCACCAACTTGGGTTAGTCATCTTTATTTAAGTGGCTGCCGAGCCTCGGTTATGAAGATTACAAAACTTTTTGAGAATTGGTATCTAATGCTTTGTTCTTCTATAAAGTGATGTAGCTCCCTGTACCCCTTTTCTATCTTCCCGTAGTTCCCTGTACACCATAGTTTCAGTAGAAGTAAATATTTCCATTTACTGAGAGCACCGATATAAGGATTCATAACTCTAATTGGATAATGAGATACATAGAAAGATAGATGTTACCGCCATACTATTTCTATTGGTTCAGAAGAGACACCAAACACATGACTGCACCCTGATTGGATCAGACGCTAATGGACTCGTCATACCCCTTGTATCTTCTCGTAGTTCCGTGTACCCCTGTATCTTCCCGTAGCTCCCTGTACCCCTTGTATCTTCCCGTAGCTCCCTGTACCCCTGTATCTTCCCGTAGCTCATTGTATCTTCCCGTAGCTTCCTGTACCCTTGTATCTTCCCGTAGCTCATTGTATCTTCCCGTAGATCCCTGTACCCCTTTTATCTTCCCGTAGCTCCCTTAAGTTCCATGTAGATCCCTTTAGCTCCCTGTATCCCCAGTAGCTCCCTGTATCTCCCTTTATCTCCCTGTATCCCCCTGTATCTCCCTGTATCCCCAGTAGCTCCCTGTATCTTACAGATTATTATCTTTATCCTTTCTTGCGAGGCTTTGAAGTATTCATTAGTTGGTTGGAGTAGTTCAGATTCAATATTCTCAAACACAATAATCATTTTTCATTTTCTGCATCCACCCCCCCCCCTTCCCCAACCCTGCTCCGTAACTCTTTATTATCTACTCTATATATCGCGCGGTAAATTAAAATAGATTGAATCTCTTTTTTTCCAATGCTCTATTTATATATCTATCTATCCATTCATCTATTCATCTATCTATTTATCTAATTATCTATTTATCTATCTATTCATGTAAATATCTATTCATCTACAGGGTGTCCCAATAAACATGGGAATTCAGTGACGAATTCGATATCGTCTTTTCAAATAATTCTTTGATTTCGTATAGTGATACCTACTGAGAAAGCTCTTATCTGTAAGAGTTTCGTATGCTATGTTCACATTATGTTTGTTTATGTTTTGACTGCATACGGTTGTACTTAGTAATACAAGAAAATTGCAGTATAAAAACAGAGTAAACTTGTCTGTCTTCACTGTTCATCTTGCGGAGACATTATAGACACATCTTTGAAGTCTTTTACCCTTTTCACAAAATAAACTCTAGCAGACATAATAATATTATGGCTTTTGAAATTAGGTATTACACTGCTAATTCATAACAAAGACGATAACGAATTCGTCACTGAATTCCCATATTTTTTGGGACACCCTGTATATCTATTAATCTATTTATCCAACCAGTTTTCTTTCTCAGCATTTTCAACCTGATTCAAATCTTTCTCGTTCTGATCCTTTCCATTCTTCCCCCTCTTCCTGCTTTCTTAAATATCATGTAACAAACCTATCTAGGTTAATTTGTAAATAGTTTCCTTTAGTTTCCGATACTAGGGGTTTCCTGTAATTATAATTTATATAGTGCAACCTCAGTAGTTCATCAATCATACCTTGAGAAACTGGTAAAACTAGGATACTCACGGACTTTATATCATTTACCCTCCCCCCCCCCTTCTTTTCAATATTTCTCAAAGTTTCCTTTATGAACATGGTATTAATTAATAGTCGAATTTTCACTTTTGTCTCGCCTAAATAAGTTAAATTCTAACTCTAATCTGTTTTTTTAAATAACTAAATCTAGGAGAATATTTTTCGTGGAAATACCTCAACTGTAAATGGATAATTATGATAATTTTAAAAACTGGCATGTTATGTTAAGTATTTGTATTTTTTTCCACTTACATAAAGAGAATATTTGTTTCTTATATTAAAAAAAGTCCTTTTTTATAAAATTTCACACTTGTTTTTAAAAAAAAATATTTGATTTCCCCCACATGTTGTGTATAATGTCGAATCCTGACCGCCCAGGTATTAAAGGAAATTGCATGAGAACATTTATTTCTTTTATCCCGGTTAAAAGTGAATCCAACTAACAGAACAACAATTGTCAATGGGGAAGGGGGGGATTCGAATAATTTTTATCTATCTATTTCAGATGAACAATATAAACTCTAAACTCTTGTGTTTAAACAAACAAACTTCAAGTTTAGATAAGCTCCTCATCTACTCTAACAATAGGATTTGTCAGGTTTAAACATAAACAATTCAAACTTCCGTATACAAACTCAATCCCGGAGCAGATCTTCACACTACACACTACACACTACACACTACACACTACACACTACACACTACACACTACACACTACACACTACACACTACACACTACACACTACACATTACGCACTACGCACTACGCACTACACACTGTACACTGCACACTGCACACTGCACACTGCACACTGCACACTGCTCACTACACACTACACACTAAACACTACACACTACACACTGAATTAAATTGCTTGTATGATCTTATGTAAATATTGCACACCCTCCTATATTGTTTGAATTTCGTGACCATAATTATATTTTTAGATTATTTTATGACTGTTTTAACACCTCACGTGCAATATGCCCTAAACTCTGAATACATTTACCAAAATGTTTATAAAGATATTTAAACGTAAATATCTACGTTCGATTAATTAAATTACACTGACAGGGTTTCAAAAGAAAGCTTGGCATTCATATTTCAAAAATAAATTTAGATATGTAAGCTATATATATAATATATTATACTTTATGTTGAACTAGCTAAACAGAGAGAAAGAAGAGAAGAATTATCACATTGGTTCAGGTTTTATAAAACCTATATCCTGGGACTCGGATCCTAGCTTCTAGGCTAAGGTTGAGATCGTAAACACTGGGTTCATAGTGTCTTTAATTTATGAATCCATGTTCGTTGATCCAGCATCACTTAATAACTGTGCAATATTGTTTTCATCTTCTAGTCTTTGCTTTTTTAACTTCTCCTCTAGGACGGGTTGGAGAGAGGAGTGGAGCAGGTTTCGCAAATCTTCCATCTGAACCGGAGATCTTCTAGGAAGGGGTTCAGTCCGGTCATGACCGTCGTCTTTGTGTTCAAATTTAATAAGTTGACGCGGTAATCCTGTGCTTTGAACCTGTGCTAGCAATCTGCGCTCTAGATCTTCTATGTACCGCACGGTTTCTTGCAGAACATCGATCTGAAAATAAATGAGGTCAATAATGTAGCGGGCTTGTGGGATATTACATCTGTATATTCATCTATTCTCAGCTCGTTATACCCTGCCAGAGCATAGTTGAAGTAAAACTCATAACCCGGAGCGTGCCTAGATTTGAACCCAATAAAACTATGTGTAGTGGATGGGTGGGGTGGTTTGCCACCAATTATGTGCCATTTTCAGACCATAGAATAAAGGGCGGAGCAGGGACGGGTCTCCGCTTAGAAAGGTTGAATGATTCTTATCGGTTTATGACAGGATATGTAACAACAATGTTCCGAGGATTTGACACAAAGAACAGACAAATACTAGAACGAACAGACACAATGATAACATTAGACAAAACCTCGTGTAAAGCATTTTCTAATGTTTGTAAAAAATGAGACTCAGAGACATTAAGATTACAAGGGACTGAGTTCTAACAAGGCGATGCAAAAAGTGTGTAATGAAAAACAAGTCAACAACAAGATAATAAGAAGAAAAACATCTTGTAAAAGTAACAGTGAGGGGAGACAGAAAAACAGTATAATGAGGTAGAAAGAAATGAGATAAAAATAAAATAAAATTCAAAATTACAAATATATGAATATAAACCTATTGTTTAGTAAAGATTATCAGATTGTTATTGTGGTTAAATAAAACCATTTTTATTGTGGTTAAATAAAACCATTTTTATTGTGGTTAAATAAAACCATTTTTATTGTGGTTAAATAAAACCATTTTTATTGTGGTTAAATAAAACCATTTTTATTGTGGTTAAATAAAACCATTTTTATTGTGGTTAAATAAAACCATTTTTATTGNCCCCCCCCCCCGTTCAATATACTAACAATAAATATGAAATAAGGTTTATCCATTGTATCCAGGATCAGATACCAAGATTATCATCTTCAGCTAAGGTTCGATGCATTCTATCAGAGCTACGCCAAACCCAGCCCCGGAGCAAATACAATCGCTAAACCCGAACCTTCTCCTAATTTTAATATCCACCAAGTAGCGCTAAAATGCTCAACATTTATAAAATACCCCCAAACAACCATTTGATTCTAAAATCCTGATTAATACTGTGAAACGCTACAGCTCTACACCAAAATAGTTTCTACGCTTGATATTTTATCTGAGAGTAAACTCCTAATAGTTAATCGAAGACGATAAGGATAATCTAAAAGCTCTTAACTACTCCCAAATTAATCTAAACGAACTGAAACTTGTCCTGGAAACTGGAAACTGGAAACCTATCATGAGAATAGGAACTGACGTGAACCCATGTCCTATCTTTAGGTGATAAATTATTCAATAGTGTAAGCATATTTGTATCAACGGACCCGGGACGGGTTTACTCCGGATGAGCAAGATGAAACTTGACTCTGTAATAAGATCTACAGCTTCCAACAGCTAAACTACTCAGCAAAGAAATAAAAACGAACCTTAAAACTGCAATAAAAACTTATATCCCTATTCTTTTTTTGAATTCAGTGTTTCGTAAATTCAAACTGTCGAATCCGTATTTATATTTGATACAATAACGAATAACGATTTCTTAAAGAAAAATGTATAAACTTATGTCATTCGAATATGAAAAACAACTAATGTTGATGACATCCACATGGAATAAAAAATACCTCTGAAGCTTCTTCTTTGTCCTTCACTGCTGGAACCAGAGATTTGAGTCGATAGAGTTGAGCGTAGCGAACTGTTTTCTTATATTTTGCGACGATGGCGCGAGCTTTTCTCTGTTGCGGAGACTTTTGTTGGGGCGACCTCAGTTCCGACCTCTGGCTGTAATCAAGTCGATATAAGTGGGTTCCAGACTCAGATTTCCCCTGACCTCTTCCAGAGTATCGAGGTCGTAGTCTGTCCTCAAGCATGATTAGAACACTGTTTGAAATGTATCGAAGCGGGTAATGTATGTCCTCCCTCTCCAACGGTCTGAAAGACACTGCCTTCTATTCAGGCTAAACAGGTGGCTGCGGCTGCAAGAGCCCGCTCAAATCTCAGGGCATAGGTATTGGGGTCTCTATCTATCTGACTATCTATCAATTCTGAATTTTTCTTCCCATATCTCTTAATGATACTTTCCATTTCTAAATACCTTAACATTACAGGGTTTTCTACTTCATTCTTTAAATAAAAATTCATTTCTTCCTTTCTCTCTTGATTTTACTTTATCTCTATATTTTTATTCACTAATAGGTTCTCTTTTATTTTTCAATCTTGTCAACTCTTGGTCTAGCTTCCTCTTGCAACCTTTCCCCTCTCCTATTCCGTTCTAACTCTTATTTGTATACTTTCCAACCTGTCGTTACACATTTATTCTGTTTAAATCCTTCCCTCTTGGTTCACTTTAAGTCCTAGATTTTATTTCGATATTTTATTAAACTATGATTGAAAAAAAGAGGAGGACTCCTTTCTTTTGAAGCATAGTTTTTTTCTGGTATTTCGGGGGTTTCCATTGAAACAAACAAAAATTGACCGTTATCAGTTTAACTAAGAGAAATTACATATATTTCCTATTGACTCCACCAGGAGCGTAAACAGAGGGCAATGTGGCTGAGCCCTCCCCCCCCCCNTCTAGATTTAAACTCTATTTAATCTAATAACGAATAAAGGATTGTAGGGTTCTAGATTTAAACTCTATTTAATCTAATAACGAATAAAGGATTGTAGGGTTCTAGATTTAAACTCTATTTAATCTAATAACGAATAAAGGATTGTAGGGTTCTAGATTTAAACTCTATTTAATCTAATAACGAATAAAGGGTTGTAGGGTTCTAGATTTAAACTCTAGTTAATCTAATAACGAATAAGACGTATGTTTAATACACAGCTTGATAGGCTCCACCCTAGTACTATAGGCGGGATTTAAATATAAATATTTATATCAGAACTTAAAATATTATAACATTGTGATATAATAATATATCTTAAAAGTTCTTATTATTTCATTCTATGAACGTGTTAAAAACTTAAACATTAATAGCTTTTCAACGCGTGCTATCATATATGAATGTCAAAATATCTTCGAAAATGTCAGATTTTTTTTTCATTGATTTATGTCTACTCTAAACTAAAAATCTGTGTAATAAGTACGCTTGTGGTAAGTCTTATAGCTATGGACTAACCGTAACTCTAGGTGCCAGTGTCCATGGTATCGGGTTTACTAATAATCATATCAGATACATTTGGATGTTTTATATTTCAGACCGTGTTTTGTATCTCCAGGTCTATCTTGATATACACAATATATATCCTGGACCTGAGCTCCAGATATGAAATGAATACAGTGTCTGTTCTGATGAAATCTGAAACCTGACTGGATTGGCTCTGCATTAGTTTTGTAAAAACATTATCAGTAATTTGAGTAGTTTAACATTTCAACACTAACCCTTGGTGCAGTATATTTGAAACTTAAACTAGGTTTTGGAAACCGTTTATTCTTCAAGTTTTTACCTTTTATCTCTCACCGTCCCGAATAAAAATATCTAAACTCAGCGATAATATTCTTCTTGGATACAAACGTGCACATACTCTAACTCTAACCCGGAGCTATACTTACCCAACCCTAGTCCTGCACCCGAAGAATTTACGGTCGAAGATACTTCTGAATATATAACTAGCATGCAATCATGATATATCTAGTATCTACACTATACTGTGTTCAACAGTCAGTTCTCAACATTAAGTATTCAAAACTTTAAACTTTAAACTCAGTTCTTAAAATAAAGTTTTTAAAGTTCAAAAATTATAACACATCTCTTAGTTTAGTAATCAACACTGCATCTTAGTTCTGACTAAGTATTCAAGCTACATCTTAGTTCTGACTAAGTATTCAAAACTACCTCAGAATTCTCAGTTCTTAAGATTGAGATAAAAACTCCGTACATAGTTCTTAGTTCTCAAGATTCAATATTCAAAATTATTGACTCTGTACTTAAAGAAACTGATTTTTTGCCACAAACTTAAATTTTCTAACCCCTATATCTTTGCAACCTGGTGGTATAAACCTATGATATTTCAAACTTTGACTATTTGATCTAACAGAATTCATAGTTTGAAATATCAAAGGTTTGTTTGATAAAGCAGTTCTTTTTTTCATTATAAATATCTTCGTACAAACTAAAGTGGAACATCTTGATGATTTTGCAACACACAATATCAAACAAGCACGAGACTAAGAACACACAATATCAAACAAACACTAAATCAAGAACACACAATATCAAACAAACACGAGACTAAGAACACACAATATCAAACAAACACGAAACTAAGAACACGCAATATCAAACAAACACGAGACTAAGAACACACAATATCAAACAAACACGAGACTAAGAACACACAATATCAAACAAACACGAGACTAAGAACACACAATATCAAACAAACACAAGACTAAGAACACACAATATCAAACAAACAC